TATCCATCAGGTGCTAAAGGGGTGCAACCACATATTAACACTAGAAATTCTGAAGGGCCATCTGCACACTGGTATATACCCTTTCAAGCAGACTTTGCAAACCATTTTAGAACCTCTTTTAACTCTGAGGAAGACGGGATCCCCCTTTGAAACGCGTCAGTTTGACCAAGATTCTCTCTCCCTTCCGGTTGGAGCTCGCACTTGTCATCTAACCTTGTGTTGGTTTTGGATGTTATATACCTTTTTTACTGCTACTCTTGTGAGTATAACTTATCAATAAATACATGAATTGCTTACTGAGGTAATGCGCAAGGTTTGTGTGCTCTTTTCTTTTGTTCTCTACTACATTTATTTTTCTGCTACAGAGCATGGCAAAGTTATTTGCAATAAAAAAAAAACACTTTTTTAATTTTCCAAAAACTGCGATTCTGGAAAAAAAAAATTATGAAAAAATTATGAACCGCTTAAGCTTGCCCACATGACTTGTACTGCAATCGTGTGGCAGCTCCAGGCCAGGTGACATACCTGTATGTTGCAATCTTTCTTTCACACATGCACCCTGCTGACTAGTGCTGTGACTGGACACAGCATAAGTTTGACAGCTGATTTCAGCCAATGAATTTGGCTGAAGTCAGCTGATTGGCTGTGTAACCACACACAGAACTCTGTGTACAAGAAACAGGGATCTGGCTGTTTATTCTACCTGATAAGCATTGTGGAGGTAACCAATTACCCCCCAGGTATGACAAAATTGTAAATTAAAGTGAATGTCGAGTTTGGCATATGTTTTATTACATTTTTCTAAGCTTTCTTCATACGGTCTTTACTTATTACTGGGGAGCTTGCCAGTTAATTTCTTTAAAGAAAAAAAGGTGCTACACCCTAGTGGTCTTTGACCTCTTCCATGTTGTCCAGGTAGATCTACACCTCTCAGAGGTTGTCTACCCCTGGTTTAACAAGTAGGGTGTAGGACAAAGGCTATACAAACATTTTTAATGACGTATTTCCTACATGTAAGATTCATAAGTGGTTAAAAACCCATTTTTTCCATAAACATCATAAAGGATAAGTACACCTTTAGTAACGCAATACATAATACACCCATATTTAGGGTGTAACATGTTACCAGCCCCCGAAGCCTTCTATGCATGAAGGTAAAAAAATCTTCTGTGTGCTGCTTCCACCATAGCCCGATCCAACAATGTTGCAGGAGAGCCTCGGCTGTCCTGGGACTCTGTCTCATTAGCTAAAACAGCAGCGGAAGCAATTGGCTCCCACTACTGTCAATCACAGCCAGTGAGCCAATGAGGAGAGAATGGACGAGGATCCAAGTCACAGCTCTGTGCATCTTATGGAGGCATAGAGCCAGGCTAAAGAGCAAGCACGCACGCACCAATGCCCACATAACATGCAACTTGTTATTAGGGGGTACTGGTCAAGAGGGAGAAGCCAGAAACGCCTGTGGGGGACCTGAGAAGGGGATCGGGGCTTCTGTGCAAAACCATTGCACACCGCAGATAAGTATGACAGTTTTTTTTTTTTTTTTTTTTTTAAAGCTAAACCTTTAATACCACTAACTCTCAAATATTACTTTCAATTAGCCATATGTCCTGAATTATCATATTTCATCACTTATTTATGCAATATACCAAGATCTGATTTAAACATTACATAACACCAGAGTTCCATTATCTTATAACGAATATACATATATTATTTTGCACCATATTGTTATGAATCCTTTAATGCAAACCTGTTCTTTCTACATGCAGTGCAAATCAACAGAGTTGCTTTAATTGGCCTCTCCATACACCTTTTCTTTGCTTTTTTTTTGCCTCACTATTCAGCTGTTGGGAGCAAAAGATAATCGAAGCTGAATGGAGTTGGGGGAGTGAAAGAAGAGTATGTGCTGCTGGGAAAGGGGGATTATAGTGAACCTGCTACTTTGCTCTGCATCTCAAATTATGTGTATATGCACGACTGATTAGCTAAATGTCCCCACACAATAAATATACAGTGTATATATACATATAAAGTGCATTCAGAAAGTATTCTGACTCCTTCACTTTTTTCAATTTTGTTATGTTGCAGCTTGATACTACAGTTGTTTAAATTCATTTTTTTCTCATTAATCTACATTCAGTACCCCATAAGGACAAAAGTGAAAACAGAATTTTAGAAGTGTTTGCAAATTTTTGAAAAAGGAAAAACTGAAATATCACATTGGCATAAGTATTCAGACCCTTTGCAACAAACACTTCAAATTTTAGCTCAGGTACCTCCCATTTCTCTTGATCATTGCTGAGATGTTTCTACACCTTGATGGGAGTCCACCTGTGGTAAATTAAATTGATTGGGTTTGATTTGGAAAGGCACACACCTCTCTGTTTAATGACTCACAGCTGACATTGCACACTGTATCAATGCAAAAGCCATGAGGTCAAAGGAACTGCCTGCAGAGCTCAGAGACAGGATTATTGCAAGGCACAGATCTGGAGAAGGCTACAAAAATAATTCTGCTGCATTACAGGTTTCCAAGAGAACAGTGGCCTCCATAATTCTCAAATGGAAGAAGTCTGGAACAGCCAAGACTCTTCCAAAGATGGTCGCCCAGCCAAACTGAGCAGTCGGGGGAGAAGGGCCTTAGTAAGAGATAACCAAAAACCCGATGGTAACTCTGACTGAGCTCCAGAGATCCTGTGTGGAGATGGCACAAAGCTCCAGAAGGACAACCATCACTGCAGCCCTCCACCAATCTGGGCTTTAAGACAAAGAGGCTAGACAGAAGCCTATTCACAGTGCATAAAATATAAAAGCCTATTTGGAATTTGCAAAAAAAAAGCTTTAGCAAACTCCAAGCAGGCTTTTATGTATATTGCAGTGAGGAGAGGCTTCTGTCTTGTAGCATTCCTCACATCTGTGCCTTGCAATAATCCTGTCTCTGAACTCTGCAGGCAGTTTCTTTGACCTCATGGCTTTTGTTCTGAAACCATATGCTATCTTAGCTGTAACGCCTTTTATAGAGAGGTGTGTGCCTTTCCAAACCATGTCCAATCAATTTAATATACCACAGGTGGATTCCTATAAAGTTGTAAAAACATGCCTGCTCTCTGAAAGAGATCAGTTAGTAAAAGCAGCACAGTATCATAAGTACAGTGACAGTGTATAGTATTATCACTAATCATTGTAATAATGTCAGTGGTGATGTCAGTGGCAGTTTCACACTAACTGATACTGGAAAGATGTGACCAATTGCCCGCTGCAGTATTGCAGTCAACTATAGGTTGCCGATTGCCGCCATTAGTAGTATTAAAAAAATAATTCTAGTACACACATATATATATATATATATATATATATATATATACACCATAGTTTGTAGAAGCTATAACTTGCACGCAAACCAATCAATATACACCTATTGGAATTTTTTTAATTTAATGTAGCAAAATACAATTTGGCCAAAATTTATGAAGAAATGTGATTTTTAAAAATTTTTTATTGGAAAGGTTTTTTTTTTTTTTTTATTCGTAGCAGAAAGTAAAATATAGTTTTATACCATATATTTTAGTTTTAAAAATATAGTCAAATACCACCAAAGGAAAGCTCTGTGTGAAAGAAATTACCTAAATTCCGTTTGGGTACAGCGTTGCATGACCGCACAATTGCCAGTTAAAGTAGTGCATTGCCAAATAGAAAAAAAATGGCCTGGTCATGAACGGGGTAAAATCTTCCGGGGCTCAAGTGGTTAAACAATCTAACAAATAAAAGATTTATATAGGACTTAGAGGACATCTAACATTAAAAAAAAAGGATTCAGTCGGAATAAAAAAATATTATAAAAGAACAATCTTTGAGCATGTATCTGGTCATGGAACTATCCCCTGTTGTCTTGTAGATAGATATTAAGAAAACATTTAGGCAACTCTAGAGAGTCAGCTGCTCTGAATATTCTCCCAAAATCAAACACACTGGTAGTGACTTTGTAGTTAATACCTTGGAAATGGTACTGTGACCAGGCAGCTTAGGATTACTGCTATTACAACAAATAGTCAAGTGTTAGGCTGTCATGCAGGCTTCATAATGAAAAACCTCTGTTCACTTTTTTACTATAGCTCTTCGTTAAATTCATGTGGAAGGGCTTCAAGACATCTTAAACCATTTTTATGTAATGTTGCCGAAGCAGGCAGTGCATTATCATTTTTCTGTATTGATCTCTCATCACAGACTATTTTTTCAGTTTCTTTTGTTGCTGCTCTTTCTGACAGCAATTACACTTGTAAGGCTAAGAATAGGAAAATGAATAATCTACAATATATTTCATTACAGAAAAAGGGCAAAATTCCACAGTTTATTGTCATATGAAGATATGCAAGCTTGTTGCTAGAAATGGAAACAGCCTTATTCATATGAGCAGGAAAACAAAAGGGCATTCAATACAGAACTTAGAAATCAGCAAGTAGTATGGTAAAAAGTCTGAACAAAACATGGCAAAGCAAGTTGAGCACTTTTAAGGTGTTAAACTATAGACAGCCATTTTTGTTAAGGTCATGCCATCCACTTCCACACAGAGGTTAGCTTACCCCCCGTTAGTAACATATGCTGATTCACTAAGCCTGTCAATTTTTTTTCCATCTGTGCCACAATAAATACGGTGATTTGTAATCACTTTCTGTCCCATAGTCAAAAAGTAAGAAACCCTTCCAAAGTGAAGGAACCCCTTGTTGTAAGCAAGGTCACCAAAATAAATGTCCCCTTTGGAAGGTTTCCCCTCTATTTTGGGTGACAATCCAAAATTTGTAACCATCTTTCACTAGCTCCTAGTGATAACAGTAAACAGGACAGAGAGGATGAACCTCCTTAATGGGGGCACAGACAGCAATCAAGATCAAACAGGTGTTCTAATCCCCCTGCACTCTATCCAAAACTAAAATAAATATTTGCCTTTATATATACTCTAGTCAACATTTATATTAGTGTAACAAAATAAAAGCATATACCTGAGCATGCCGGTAGTTGATCATATTCTTGGGAAAGTCTATTTATTTTTACATCATTTGGTGCTCTTCGAGTGGGTGGTAAAGGAGCTTCTAAACAGTGATCTAAAATGTGAAGGATAAATGGCTATGATAAAAGATTTTACAGCAAACAGGGCACTTTCCATTTATTTCAACCCACTAACAGCTCAGTTTTTCTACTGCAATTGAAAAGTAAATACCAAACCATTACTAGACACCTTCAGACATTTACAGTGTAACAAACATGACAATGCTGCTGTGCAAAGTTGCTCCTCCTCCAGAGTGGGAGCAATCCAATTTAGGCCAGATCACCAGGTGAAAACAGAGGGGAAAAAGTCTAAAAAAAATAATGCAGCCACCACATCTAATGATTGACAAGCTGTAATATATTACATTTTTGGTTTGGGGTTTAATACCACTTTATAAATCGGTATATGTTTCATAATTTATAAAGTACTTACACAGAGATCAGAAAAACACGCAATGAGGGCATGTTGTGCCAATGAAATGTTTGTATCAATACTTTTACTATGCATCAAATTTATGGAGCACTTTCACGTACATCGGAAGGCACTAAATATCTTTTCGCCTCTGCATGATCAAAATGTTCCAGTTTAATAATCAATTTTAACAGATCCCTGTTACCTGGATGACTGGCCTGACTGCCTTGTCCTGTCATTGGTGCTTAGTGTGGGACTTCTGACATTTTAGTTTTGGGTCATGTAAGAATTTCACCCCCCACCGCCCCAAACACTGGATGCCTCCAGTGACCACGTATGTTACCAGTTTAAAGTGGTATACTGGGGTGATGCCTGCAGCTAAAGTCATCATTCCAATTCTGTTTTTTTCTGCAAGCGATTCAGTTTTTTGTAAAAGCAATCCTAGTGCCTAATAAGCTGCTGGATTGCTTTTATAGGTGGGGGAAGTGGTGATAGTAATACAAGTGATTTAAAAATACAAAGACAGTGTAAAAATAAAATGTTTTTTTTAAAAAAAATTTAATTTAAAAGTGTACCTGCCAGCCCCAAACCCGCCCCACCCCACCCCACCCACAACACAAAGGCAAACACAAAGGCAAACACATACGTAGGTCATGCATGCATACGTAAAAGCAATTGCACCACTCATGTGAGGTATTGCCGTAAACATAGCGAGAGTAATAATTCAAGCACTAGACCTCCTATGTAGCTCTAAACTGGTAACCTGTAAAAGCTTTTAGAGTGCTGCCTATGGACATTTTTTAGGTACCATAGTTTGGTGCTATTCCACAAGTGTGCACAGTTTTAAAGTATGACATGCAAGGTATCTATTTACTAGGCGTAACATCATCTTCTAAAATTTTACCAAACAATCGGGTATTATATTGTGTTTTTGTTTAGTAAAATTCATTATAGTGTATTTTTGAAAAACCACTGCACAACTACAGTGACATAAAAAATCGCAACAACCACACTTTTAGCTAGGGCTTTTGAGCTAGCCACTCTTTTGAGACAAACGCTATCATGGTTCACCCAAAAACCCCAGAACAGATGGACAGAGATTGAATTAGGTTATATTTATCAGATTCACACACACATTCACTGCTACGCCCTTTTCATTATGCGTTACCCCTATCCTCTCCCCTGAATCTATGAAATTCACCCTCAAAATATAATCAGCCTGTGTGAAATCCCAGCAGTTATTGTCCATATGCTCTCTATTGTTGACTGCTTTGTATAATCCAGAGCTCCCAGATAGTCTGTCTTACCCACAGATGAGATTTTCAGCAATTAGTGGGATATTTCAACTCCGTCAACTGATCAATCCGGTTTCATGCAGGATTTGGTCATTTGAGGAGCTTAGGGCGTGGAAATCCACATTACCTGCATCAGCCAGATATATCTATTTGCAGTTTCGTCTTTATTTCCATACCTTGAATTCTTCTCTGACGCTAGCTCGCCCCACAGATTTTGAGAGGATAGCGGCTAAAGGTCCCTCCCAACAACATATTATTACCTCTCAATAAGGTTCGAACCCCCACCGTTCAACTTCAATGCCCAATCTCTCTGAAATGTTGGAAGATGATTTGGGACTCTGTTACTAAAAACCTCTGGTTGTGTTGTATATAAAGAAAATGTATAGAAAATAATGATGCATTGGTACAAGACCCCTGTAGCGCTTCATGCAATCAATCCAAATCTGTCTGACACGTGCTGGAGGTGCATGGGAGGAGTAGGCACCTTGGCACACATCTTTTGGTTCTGTCCACAGATTGCCAGTTATTGGGCTATAGTTGGAAAGGTATTGGAACAAGTATACTCAATGTTACCCTTCCCTAGACCTGCTACACTATCTTTTGGGGCTACCCTTTAGGGGTATTTCTAAGCAATCTAAGAGGTTGGGAATACATATTCTGATGGCTTCTAGATGGGTAATACCACAATTCTGGAAATCAGTTGATGCCCCCACACTACGAGCGATCTCTGAAATCAGAGAAATGGAATATCTTACAGCTCCATATGGTTGACTATTCAGGTAATTTTCGACCTATTTGGGAATCAAGGGATCATTCTCTGGTAGAATTTCTTCCTCTCCACCTTATATAGCTCAGATACCTCTTTACTTACCAAGCCTCTGACAACTACTGTAACCCAACAATGTGCAGGTTTGTGTTGTCTTGTGTTTTGTATTGTCTTGTGTTTTTGTATTGTACAGTTTACCATGCTGTCTAATTATGTTCATATTTCTTTTGTTTCTGTTCTCTTTTATATTGATTGTGGATTTCTTTTACTGCAACGTTCACACCTAAAGTGTTTTTAATAAAAATTTACAATAATAAAAAAAAAAAATAAATAAAACATTGCCACTTGGGGTTACCTTGAAAACGCTCAATAATACACATGAAATGGTTTACAGATTCTGATTATTACCCCCATTTCCCGCTAGTTACATTTTTCCTTTGCTGCAAGTGCATTTTTTATAGGGATGGAAGATACCAAGTATAAAATGCAGAAAAAAAAAAATCGCACCAAAGAAAATTAAAAAAAAAAAACACCTGAGACCTAGAGTAAAAGGGAATTCGAAAATAATGAAGAGAAACAGAAGAGGCAGTGATCGTAACAAATTTCAACACTGGTACAAGAAAAATTACGGCAAGCCACTCCGTGAAAGATAACTGTCACAGTTTCTAGTGCTGTCAACTGAACTGTCAAGCCACCAAGTAGTTGGTGTCATAGCATATCACATGTGCAGCACCATGGCAACTGCAGATTAAACAAGGCTAAGTTGGCAGCTTCCTTGACTGTAAAAGGTAGGCGGGTTCAGTTCCATTCTAAGAACTCCCAATTCAAAGTAAGCAACACTAAAATGCTAAGCAATACTTTTATTTGAAAACATGTATTGAAATTTTTTTTTTTTAACTAGCATAACATGTCCTAATTACCTGCTCTGTGAAATGGTTTTGCACAGAGCAGCCCAGACCTCTCTCTTCTCAGGGCCCTCTGTCGTTGCTTGAGGCTTCACCTCTTCTCTGGAGTACCCCCATAGCAAGGTGCTTGCTATATAGGCATTCCTGGAGATTTTACCCTTTAACTCACACATAACAGCTTGGCCGTAACCCTGATCCCTCCTCATGGGATTAGACTGACAGCAGCCGGAGTCTATGGCTCCCGCTGCTACCTCCATGTCCTGAGAGAGAGCAAGCAGCACCACTGCTCTAAATCGAGATCAGGCTCATTGGCAAGTATTGGGCGGTGGGGGTGGGGGGAGGTTGGGCTATTTTGTTTTTTCAGTTTGGATAGAGGGTTATAACCCCTTCACTTCCTGTCTCATAGCCAAACAGGAAGTGAGGAAATCCCTGCAAATTAGGGGAATTCCTTGGGGACTCCCAGGTCACCAGAACTAGTGTCCCCATTGGAAGACATCCCCTCTATTACTTTTCTGGGGACAACCAAAATTTGGGATTTTCTTTTACTTTCATTTTCAATGGTAATTGTAAACAGGACAAATAGGGTGAATTCCTCTCCACTCTATCCACTAAAAAAAAGGTTTTGCCTTTAGTTATACTTTAAGAATTTACAGTCACTTTAATCTTTAAAATTGATTTTTTTTGTTATAATGTACTACAAGGACCATGCATCAGATATTAAATATCCAGCATATTTTATAAATGTAGAGCATTAAAAAGAATCATAACCTCCTAGTGAAATAATCTGATGCCTATTATCTGCCAGGAAATTGCTTTCTTATTAGAATACATTCTTGCCAAGAGCACACATGCATTCTTATGTCAAACATCTAACATATTGTAATGTTAGTAGCATCCTCTTAACTCTTTCCAAGGATTGCAAAGCAGAAACACACAAACGTACCTTTAAAGATCGTATTCTGGGATTCAAATTTCTATAGAAATGTACATTTTTTTCAGCTGATTCAACAACGTTTTGCACATTCTGATAATATTGTCAATAGGCAGTGAATCACGTATAATGAAAATTGACTGAAAACTATAGCATTCGCAGAAATATGTTGCACTTGCCTGATTACATTAAGTTAGCCTCTGACAGAAAAAATACAGGACAAAAATAATTTTAGTAAACCACTTTTTACTTACATTTGTTATAATTTTTTTCCAGATGAAAAATAAATGCACAATTCTTTTTTTTTTTTCCAGATGAAATGCCACCGAAATATTTAAAGCCTCAATGGCTTACAAAACATTTTACTGAAAGTCAAACTCTAGGCATTTATAAAAGACACAAAATACCGTATTTTCTGGCGTATAAGACGACTGGGCGTATAAGACGACCCCCTACTTTTCCTAGTAAGATGTAGTGTTTAGGCTATACTCGCCGTATAAGACTACCCCTCTTCCAATGCACACCAGTGGGAAGAATCGTGCCCCATCATTGGTGTCAGTGGGAGGAATAGTGCCCCATCATTGGTGTCAGTGGGAGGAATCGTGCCCCATCATTGGTGTCAGTGGGGGGAATAGTGCCCCATCATTGGTGTCAGTGGGAGGAATCGTGCCCCATCATTGGTGTCAGTGGGAGGAATAGTGCCCCATCATTGGTGTCAGTGGGAGGAATCGTGCCCCATCATTGGTG